GTAATCATGTTAAATTACTTATAAAACCCTTATATCTTTCTCGGTACAAATGAACTTCTTTCTGACATTAAGATAAAACAATGAAACAAGCTCTTGTTAATACCACATTCTTTAAAAAGGACCAAGCTGTGCTTTCTCACCAAGTGTCAATTAATGTTGAAATAATGATCAAAATATGCCTGTTTCTTTCCACCCACATTTCACGCCTTTCTTTGGAATGAAGAAATGTTTTCTGATTATTAAGTACACAATACCAAACCTTTCGTTAAGTCTATTTTTCTGTCTTGCTATCCATCCAAACCACCCATCTCGTATTCTTAATTCTATGCTAAACTTCACTTTTTCTGCATATTTGCAATTATTGTGGTTGGTAAGGGAACTGAAATACACAACACTGTTTGTCTCATTTACAAGCAAATTTCTCCGGATCTGCCTCTGAAACTTTTCATATTGTTATTCCATTGACACCAGCTCAACTGGCATGCTTCTGATGGTAAACAGATTCTTTTTTTCCCAAATATGCTTTGAACTCTATTACTTCCTCCATACCATGTCCTTCATGTGCGTTCATATGACACAAGGGTTTGTTTAATTGACAGAAATTGGGCACAATTTGGTAATGAGGGTCAGAGGGAGTAAGCCTTCTGTCACCTATTAGAGTAATGGCATGGCTGTCGATGTTGAATGTGATTTCTTTTAGATAATCGGGACGAGTTCTATGACCCCATTTCCATAGATTTTAGATCCATCTATCCCTGTGGGGAGCCTCACTAGATTACTGTCAGCTTAGCTAGCTTAAGCATCTGTCCCGCCTACTAAAAGCTGTAAGGGGGTAATTAAATATGGTGCGCGCTTGGCTGACTGCAATTTAGCGTGAACCCCCAGGGAGTTAGGTCGATCTAAATCTTAATCTCTGGGTCAATCTAAATATCTGGGAATGCACCCTATGTGTACCCCCCTCCCCCCCCCACACACAAACACTACTACTGACACACACACACACACACACACACACGTGCAAATATGGAATCACAGTTCAATCACAAAAACATGCACATGCATGCACACACACTACCTAGCCCTCCCCCACTGAAAAATAATTTCAAACAAAAAATGTCACAATTTCCATTTGTTTTTGGTGAAAGGCTAACACCTCTTCCCTAAGCCCTCTTAAGAAGAGTGAACCTTCATTGTTCCCAGTGATTGTTGCTCATGTACGTGTCTCTGGCTGTCGGGTGATATTCTCAGAGACTAAGATTAATGCTTGCTTTATACAATGTCTTCTTTTTCCACAGAAAAACGACACAAAACTGGTGCAATGTATGATAAACAAAATGTAAAGTGGTATTTACTGAAATCAGCTTCAATTTGTTCAGAGCAAGATTTATGTGTCTAAAACACAATATGTTTTTTCCCCAAATTGTGTCAACAGAAAATGCCTTTATTATGGTTAGGATATTAATTAACAAATGAAACTTGGTACAATAAACAGTGTTGTGGAATATCATAATTATACCAACAACTCCCAAATGCAGATGAATAAAGCATTTTTATGTGGGTTGGACCTCATCCCAAAATAGAAAATCACTAACTCCAGGATACAGTTTATTAAAATGTATTTCGGTGTATGGACATCTGCCTTCAGAAAGTCTCAAAATCAGATCAGAAAGCTTTTTTCATCTCTTCTTGGTAATTCAGTACACCACATGAGGTGCTCTGTTGATCTGGTCTGTTTAGAATACCACTTGATTTTAATTAGCAACAAGCATGTGTCTAAACTGATAAAGATAAACCCTCTTCTTCTCCTCTAACCTTCCCCATTGCATGTTATTTTTTTTCACATATTAGATCTTTTTCTGTCTCTCTGCTGCTGTCTGCTACACAGATCATGTTCTAACCTATAAATCACCCCGCTCCCCCTACCTAATACTTATAATGCCATTTTCTGTAATTTCTTACTGTTTTTCTTATTTTTCCTTCTAACCTCTCCCCTCCCCCCCCCCCCCACACACCACACACACACACACATCNACGGGTCATGCATCATCTCTCTCTCCACCCTGTCTCTTTCTCATTCCTTCTCTCTCTCTCTCTCTCTCTTTCCCCCCTCTCTCAACCATATCTCTTCTCCCTCCTTGCTTCTTTTTGTCTCTTTCTCTCTCTCTCTTCCTACATGTAGCAAGCTGAAAATCTAAGCTATATAGTTTCCCTAACCTCTTACTCAAAACTCCCAGCTGCAACCTTCATTGCAAGGTGAACACATATACACTAGACCTGACACCTAGTGATTTTTTATACAGCTTTGAAACAACACAATATTACCAGTAGAAATACTACTACTACATGATCAGCACACGCCCATGAAGGCGCGATGTTTCTTCTCAAAACAAAATTATTTTTTGAGAAGGTGTGGATTGTGTAAGATGGCATGTTTTCGAGGGCAGAGAAAAAGTCCATTAAAAACCATTTATCATGGGCTGGTGCTATGATAGGGTGTTTGTTGAGATGTGTCAGTGTAGACTGTTTTAATGTACAGTCTGTATAAAAAATACCTGTTAGTTTTACAAGTATGATGTCACTGTTTGCACAGGTGTCATTGCAAAAAATATCATTATCCTCGTCAGCTTGCAGCAATTTCTGAATGATTTGCTCTGTCTCTGATTTTTTATTTGATTTGACTTTATTGAATACACTGAAGGCAAAGGTTTAAGCGAAATGCCTGTTCAACAACTATGGATAAATGTGTACCATACAAGAAAAATACAAGAAATGCACATCTCTCTCTCTCTCTTTCTCTCTCTCTCTCTCTCTCACACACACACACACACACACACACACACACACACACCAGCAACACATCATATAACCTCCAGAAGTTCACAGGTAAAGTCAACTCAAGATGAAACACTTTATGGGGCACCCAAAATCAGAAAGGGTGAGAGAACAACTTCCTACCCGCTGTCTATTTCTGCCCATCTTAACCGAGAGACGTCAGAACAATTTTGCAACCTTGTCTATTTCTCCACAGGTGGCTCTGAAAATTTAAGGAAGATGCGTTCCCTGGTTGACTTTTGACTATCTTTGAAGGGATCAGCAGACGAGGTTGTGTTTATCTGAGGAAATGTCGGATTGCCCAACCTTCAGGGAAACTTATAAAAATATAGATATATTGCCCTATTTTTAAAACATTGTCCTGTTTTTAGTCTTCAAAGATAACTCAGATATTTGGCTCTTTTAGAGCAATATAACTAATATAATTTTTAATGGTGGAGAGAAACGGTGTTAAGTGGTTTAAAATCTTGATTAATTTTCAGGAAAAGAAATGTCTAGCCTTTTTAGGAACTGGCTACATTTTGCCTGAAGGCCATGTCTGGTGACATTTGCAGATGCCAAATTTACATTCAGTTTTCCAAGAATGTTTTCAAGTAAAACATCAATTTATTGAAACTCAGTTGTACCACAGTGAAAGCAGTTTTTGCACAATTACAAGCACAGTTATGACAAAATCTGAACCTTACAAAGTTCTGGGTGTTTATAAAACAAGCAAGGTGCTGTCTCTCAAATCCCTCAAGTATCCTTGTCAGAAAGATGCATTCAAAAGATTCCATGAATTACTCTGTTACCTGTCAGTGGAAAGGTGTGTGTGTGTGTGTGTGTGTGTGTGCACGTGTTTGTGGTTATGTGTGCGCACGTGTCTGCCATGTATTTGTGCGCATGCACATGTGCATGTGTGTGTGTGTGTGTGTATTTGTGTGGGAGGAGGTGTAGGGGTTTAACAGAAAAACATCTTACATAAAGTTTGAGCGACAACAGTTGTCAAACCCAGCCACATCAGCTGGCTAAAATATCCTTCTGTCTTACAGCACAATACTAACAACAATAGCAACTTCCGATTCCTTCCGTCAACCACCTGATAAGCGGTGACTGTCTTCACAGATAGCATCTAACCCTACCTAGTCCGGCTAATGGTATCGAGAGCAGACAAATGGTTGTCGGACATGACTGCTCACAGCTTAATAACAGCGACTGCGTTGACTCCTGTAGATTGACACAACAAAGGACGCAGCATGATGGGTCTCTTTACCACGCTGACATTGATATAAAGTGCTACCTCCAAGTTGAACTGATATACCCAGATAAGGGATGGACTTGTAGTATTTTGAAACCAAAACATGGGGTATCTGTATGTTCTTCTTTGTAGTAAGTTCTTGCTAAGTGTTTTTTGAGAGGACAGTAAAAGAGAGGGAGAAAGGGAGAGAGAGAGACACACAAGAAAGAAAGAAGACACAGGACAAAAAAAAAAAAAAAAGAGACACAGGAAAAGAAGTTCTTAACCCTGGAGAGAGGAGTGGGGGTAGGGGGTGTTTATTTTAACTTATCGTACCCAGTTTCTCTCAAGGAGAAACAAAATTAAGACCCAAGTTCTAAAGCATTATTTTCTATCTTATTCCTCATATTTCTTCGTATTTTGTAATTTATTATAAGACTAAGTGCAAGTGAATTCTACACATTTATCCAGCTAACTGCTGAAAAAGAACAGTCAATGCTGACATTCATTCTGGTCAATCAGGCCGCATTCACAGCAGCGGACTAACTAGTCTGCAGATCAAATATGGTTGACCAACTCAAATGATTGTTGTGTAATCCTAGCAGTGAATCCATTTAGTATCTACCAGGGGATTAGTTGACAAGCTTTTCAGTGGGTCACCACATTTGATCCACCATCTAGTTATTCCGTTGTACTGAATGTGGCCTCGGTGTCCATGAACTGGCCTTACAAACAGATTAGGCATTTACCAACACTACCCGCAGTCTTCAAGTCTACAATTATTCAGCATCAACAAAGTGATACCTAGCACTAACATTCATCCACTCTGGTAGTGCTGGTTAACCCGTGGGCTAAATGGTTGATATGGGTGTTGGTGCTAGAAGATCTGCGGGAAGTGCTAGTAAACGCCCAATCTGTTTAAAAGGTCTGATGAAAAGCCTAATTCACTTACCATACTGACACCTGGGGCCCTGAAAGCCTGCTGGACATGAGCAGAGTTGAGCTCCATACCCTACTCCGGCCATACATCTGCCTCCATTAAAACATACACCACTACTGCATACAGCTGGAAATACAGAATAATATCAATATGAATATGGTTTCTGACATTATCAACATCAACAAAAATATTCATTTAATATTTCACCTTGGATCCAATAATCACAAGATTTCATGTAACGAAGATTGTCCAAATGAAAAAATTAAAGTACAATAAGATATTATTGCAGCTCTTTCTTTAAATATCAGAACTTATAGTTTTGGTCGGGGGTTAGATGGTGTGTGTATGTGTGTCACAGTGTGAATATGTACTAAATTGATTTTCTCAAAAGAAGCTGAAAATCTAAACAAGGGAAAAGATGTCACAAAGAGCATTGACTTTTCTCTAGTATATGTCATTGCTGAGAAATTTTGGAGAAAGAAAATCTACACTCTCTTGCAGAGAAATTTCACTTTTCATGCTTCATATAATGCATATGATATACACTAGTCCAAATGTGGACCGTTTAAATGTGAAATTCATCACCAATTTTCATAGCAAATATTTCTATCATCCTAAATACTTAGGAAAATTATTCAAAAATGTGAAAAGATATTATATTTCCTTTATGTGAAATTCTTCTGAACAATGCTGGCAGCATAACAGACATTGTTGAAGTTTTCAAAAGGGCTCATTTTCAGGTCACCACATTTCCTGCTAAACAAAAAATATCTGATTCAGCTTAATTAGCACATAATTGGGATTTAAGCAGAGATTCCCATGCACCATTGCATTTTTTGTCAAGATCAGAATCTTATGGCATGGGACAACTTACGTGCCATGGTCCTCCCATGAAACAGGTTTGGATGGATTATATATTTAGTTATTTTCCCTTTACACCTTGACAGCATCTACCTCACTTTTTTATTCTTGAACAACAACAACAAAAACAACAACAACAACAACAACAGAAGGTTCTGTGAATGTCCTTATGTTTTATAACAACTAGTGTATTTTAAATATTGTATACACGACAGAATATCTTACTTATAAACTAACAATCAATCCCAATATCCAGTTATGTTGAAAAAATTCTTTATCACAAAAATAACTCTGGTTTTATCAGGCATATTTTAAAATGTTGAAAGAAATATGAGTAACCTGACCTCTGCCGAAGAAAAGAAAACATCAGTCGGGAGAAATACAAGCAATTTACTCAGTTTTCTCCATAATAAAAAGAAAACCGTGTCAGACATTGTGCAAAATTTTGGAAGAAATTCAAGACGTCTGCTTATTTTCCACTGATTTACTATAATTCATCCATAAAACAGGTGGAGGGCGCTGACACACAATCGAAACCCACTGAGAGGGAAACATAAATTTCTGCTACGAAACATTAAATGCTATTAGGAAAAAAATCGGAATCAATTACTTCAGAGTTATGTTAAATTTGCTCATTTTTGATTGCCTCACTAAATCGTCATCCTATTAATGTTCCACACATGGTGAGCAAACTGAGGGTTGTATTTTGGGATTAAGAAAATGTAAGGGCTGTAGACACCAATTTTAATGCCCCTCCCCACCTCCAGTTACTGCAGCCTGAGAGCCTAATATCTGTATTTTTTTTTCACCAGATAGCTTCAGCCTGTGCCTTACATGGTTCAGTCAGACCACCGTCTCAAATAAATTCCACTTTTCATAATTAACTCTTCTAAAGAAAAAATCTACAGACAATGAAAGATAATTCAAAACAGCACAGACATCACCACTGTTGTAATGGCATAAACTTTGAAAATCTACTCTGATCCCAAATTCAACTGCATGTAGTCAATTGTTTTGGACTGGTGGCAAACATCATAGATTGAAAAGGGACATTTTTATTCTGTATCAGAGAGATTACATGTCCTTCCTCCAGTTTATCACTGCAACAACATTTTTCACATACATCTAGACATAAGAAAAAGATGGGAATCTTACTGGGACAGGGTCCTACATGTTTATAATGGCCAATGTCTTTGTCACTACTTTTTCCATTTTATGATGCGCACATATCCCATCAACTTATCAAAAAGAAATGAAATCCTCAACTTACTAGTCTGCAACAACAAAATGATACCGTGAATGATATATACTGACACAGCATTATGTTCCTGGCTCTGACATGTAGCCAAAGTTTCATAAATATTGAAGTAATCTGGTTCCTTAAAAGTTAGATAGATGGCGCTAGATGTACACTGATGCCCTTCAGCCTCTCTCCCCCCCCCCAATCTTATCTGAAATAACTAACTACCACCAATACACCAGGACCACCACCTTTTATCTTTTGGTTATGACTTTGGTGTATGCAGTAGTATGCAGCAATCATTTTTGAAAAGAATACTTTTGTAAAAAAAAAAAAAAACTTGGAAGAATCAAAGAGCAATGGTGGTATTCAAGGGAACCTCCTTTCTCTGTTCATTACAAGGAAGAGTAAGAAAATGATTCTTCAAAGAAAGTTTCTACAAAGGGCCTTTTGTGACTTTTTTTGTCAAATTATGTGTATCCACCCTTCCTTCCTGCACTATTGGCAAGAAGACCAGCACTGTATCCATTGGGGCTTGTTTGCTCCATTACAACATACTGTTCATCACAGAAGGTGATGATATCAAGATGCAATCAGTCTTTTGAGTCTTTTAAAAAGTTCAATAATCGATTTTAAAACAATCAGCATTGATGAAAAATTATTGATTTCGATGAGAAGATTCAGGAAATTGAATTTGAAACAAGACCAGGATATGATTGCCCAATGAACCGCCTAATAATCCACTCAGACAACATGGGTAAATTTAGCAAAGGTGTTTTTCTTCTGGCAACTCTTGATTGTTTGATTCGGTTTTGCAAATCATGGAGAAAACAGTGCAGAAATGGCACTGCTGAGAGAGACAGAGAGAGAGAGAGAGAGATCCATTCTGCAGACTGTAGCTTCACAACATCAAATTAAAGCATCCTTATTTCACCCTTACAAAACCAATGTAGAGAGACACAAAAGGCTACCACATTTTGTCCAAATAACTTTGTCCACTTCAATTCAGGACAAAGAAAAAAGTGAAAAGATGGATACTTTCCACCCACCTGTCTAGCACTAGCTGACTTGATTACAGGCGTCTAGACAGAAATTAATTGAATTGCCAACCTTGTGTGACAGCCAAGAGCAGGGTCCAGGCCAAGAAACTCATTTAAGCCAATGGCCCAGTCAAATAGCCATCACCTTCTAGCTTATTTATAACCAAGACTTCACTGAATAAAATATTAGACTGGGTTCCCATGCCTAGATCGATCCATATGGATCGACCTTACTCCCTGGGGGTTCATGCTAAATTGCTATCAGCTTAAGAGGCTCAAATGTCTGCCACGCCTACCGAATCAGCTAAAGGGGTAATTAACTTTCTTGCGTGCTCAGCCTCCCCGATAGCAAATAGCAATTAAGTAAGACTCCCCGTAGAAATAGATCAATTCAAATATCTGTGGGAATGGTCCCTTATTTTCAGGCATGGTCATCTCATGACTCTTATCCTCCAATTCAATACTGAGCCATATTGGGGAAAATTTAAAGATTAAGTTGTGTTATTTTCAACACACTTCTTTAAAATTAGGGGAAACAAATTTTATACGATTTACTGTCTATGACAGCTTGATAAATCAAATAATCAAAAAGCACTGCATAGTTTCTTGTCTTTGCATATTTCAGTAATCTAAATAACTAAAAATAAATACCCATAAACAAATCTGAATTGGATAATTCAATAAAATAAACAATTTTATCATCAAAGCAACAGCTGCGGGGACTTATTCCATTTGGTTGACCACTCTTTCTAATAGTTCCCCTTCAATATCATATAAAGGCTTCTTTTTAAATGTAATTTCCTTGAAAACAGTGATAACTTTATTACCACTGTGCAAATTTACCAAATACCTTCATGAGTCTACCCCCCCCCTCCCACCACCAACCCATCCCCAATCAAAATCATCTTAGGCTTCATTCACATGCAATGTCTATTTTCTAAATTCTATTTTCTATTTGCGGTATGTCTTATGATCACGGTCTGTGCCCTGAATATCCCGCGGCGTAATTACTGGCAGCGCGAGCCAGTTACTATAAGTTACTATAAGTAACTGGCTCGCGCTGCCAGTAATTACGCCGCGGGATATTCAGGGCACAGACTGTGATCATAAGATAGCGCAAATAGAAAATAGAATTTAGAAAATAGACATTGCATGTGAACGAAGCCTAAGAAACAACATCAGGTACTTGTGGTTGAGTTTGCATGGAGAGAAAGTGTAGGCTGTACAAAGGAGATCTGGAGATGATTCTGTTGGTGAAACAGGAACCAGCCAACTATTCAAATTGAATGAATGAACCACTCAGAATAAAAGAAACATAACAGAAAAGAGTCTATTAGAGAATTATAGCTAAATCCATTTAAAGGTAGTGTTATTAATCCCAAGAGAAATGCAAGCTTTTATTTCTTTACCTTAGCAATGAACATAGAACTTTAGAATTTCTAAGAATTTCATTGAAACATGAGTAAATTTTTGCATTGTTCATATTGATAGAACAAAGTTCTGCTTTGAAAAGGGGAAAATTGATCAGAAAGTAATACAAATATAATGTAAATAATGTAAAATTAATCAGCTTTACCCAGTCATCCCAATTCTCAGTTACCCACCTTAACCCAGTCATCTCTGTGTTCAGTTACCCACCTTGACCCACTTATCCTTGAGTTCAGTTACCCACCTTGACCCACTTATCCTTGTGTTCAGTTACCCACCTTGACTTACCCATCCCTGCATTCNTAATTAAGCGGCGGGATATTCAGGGCACAAACCGTGATCATAAGATAGCGCGAATAGAAAATAGATTTTTAGAAAATAGACATTCCATGTGAACGAAGCCCAATAAAGGTCGTGGCATTGTGACCAATCAAAACACTCCTTACATTGTTCCCTAAGGGGCAAAGCCACTTTTAGCCAAACTGTTAAAACTAATATTGTGCTTTTCTTTCCAATGCCTGGTTAAGCGCTGGCAATAGACATGAGTTACA